AAACGGGGGGCTACCTGGGGTCTATCCTATTACCAGTAACCGTGGACGATGATGATTCGTAAAGGCCTTGTTCAAAAAAGAGTGACATCGTCCGCTGGTACTGGTAATCGGATAGACCCAAGGTAGCCTGACTGTCACAGGATGTTGCAGGTAGGACAGGCCGGTCTACGGTCCACCCGGCTCCGAAGCCGCCAGCGGCAAGCCCTGGCGCTTGCGGCACGACCTGCTTGATTCGAGTGGCCGTAGGCGAAGGCAAAGTTCTCATCCAACCCGATCGCCCGGTTGCAGTCCTCAATGGCCTGCCAGCCGAGCAGAAAACCGACCCCTAGACCCGGCCGATGGCCCGGTAGGTTGAGCTCAAATCCCATCGTGTGACTTGTGCACGACAAAGCCAGGTCATGTTGAAAGGTCTTTGAAGGCTAGGGATTGAGAGAAGAAAAACCACGGCATGCTGGTGACATTTTGGTGACATTTTGGGGTGGCACACTTGGAGCCAAACCACCTCCGGCAACTGGCCCCGCTAAGGGGTGGTTAATGGATACCCCTTAACCTCTAAGGAGCTATAATTAGACACCCCATTAGGGGGCGCTAGAATAAACCTTTATGATAAATCCAATCTTCCGTGCTTTACCACTCCTGGGGGCACTTGCCGATTCTGGTGTCCAATTCCAACGGATGCACTCTAGTTTCAAGTCGCTTTGGCGATGTACAAGTGCAGCCTCTGAATGATCCAAACGAGACCAAACGAGACCTTCTTCCTGGCATACGCAGAACCATATTACCCATAACTGGCGTCAGAACCATCCCCGTTCTGATCCCTTTCCTCCCTTTCCGCATGGCTCGCCCGTGGGTCGGGACGCCGGTGCAGTGCGCTTAGGCTGCGACGACCGGGGGCAGTGCCCAGACACGGACGGTTTTTTAAGGGAGACCAAGGGACAGAGATAGGAGACCGGTTGGACTGGGAGACACGATTCGATATAGTATATATATATAATATATATATATATATATATATGTAGGCGATTCGAGATGTTCGAATGGGAGGTGTTTGATTGAATTGATCCCTTTCTCTTTGTATGATTTCCTATTATTTCCCTCTCCTTACTTCATGATGGCAAAAATTCCGCCATGAGGGTGGACCTTCCTAAGTGCATACCTTTGTCCAACCCACCCACCGTTTCGTAGGCGCGAACGCTGCGATGCACGTCAACAATCGTCAACATACATTATTTGGGCCTATCCCACTACCAATAACAGTAGATGATGATGATTATTATCAGTCGTAATAGTAAAGGCCTTTGTAAAAAATAGTGATAATTGCTTACTTTACGGGGAATAGGACAACCCAATCTAATATATAATATATATATAATGCCTCCAGATGCACGTGCTCCCACAGCACTGACCCGATAAAGTGCAACACCAGATCTCCAGTGCCACCTTAAAAAATGCATGTCACAGCACCTCACTCCTATAAAATGCTTGGCAAGGGTTCAAAAGGCACGGCAAGAATGGCCACCAAAACAAACAAAAAAACATGCCTATCAAATGCTGTCAAAGGTTCCTGAAAAACTGGAAAACTGGCCACTCTCCATAACATGAGGGTTCAACGCGCATGTCATAGCGTTATATTTTGAGCGTCTGCCACAACGTACTGCCAAGTGGAGGACATGATTCAGCAAGGTTATCGCTTTTAAAAAGCCTATCGATTTTGCAGGCTTTACCAAAATTCCTTATTTTTACCGCCTCTCTTTCTAGTCATTGCACGTTTTGGCGGTTGCTCTTTTGGAGGACCAAGCACGGAGGATATAGACCACCCTTTCCGTGGTGCTGGCCAAATAAGCCTTACATCACATCGATTTAACAGTTTTCGCAACGAGTCAGCGGCTTTTATAAAGACCCTGCCCTCCTTCAAGCGCTCTATCCAACCACAGGAAGCACTGAAATTTGCCCTGCCCATGGCCCACCGCGGATGGGCCTCTGCATAGAGATCAAGCCTCCTCTTGGCCAACGCCCTATTGTTGAACGCTGTTGCCGTGGGATCCAGCTCAATCGCCTTTGGCAGAGAGACTTGGTCGTGGAGGTCAGGCTGAGTGCTCACCACAAAAACGCTCGCCAAACAAAGGACGGATGCACAAAAAGGCACGGTGGCGGTGCAGACCGGAGAAACATGAGAAAGGAACATCTGCAGCAGCACCCGAGCACCGCAGCAGCACCCGGCTCAATGAATTGGTTTTGGTTTAAGGGAGACGATCTGCAGGAAAACCCCTTCGTTGTCACCCCCCAAAAGCATGGCCGTCCCGTAGATGTTTGTTCCCTTAAGCTCGCTTAAAGCCGTCTCAGCCGTCTTCGCCTGGTGAACCCGGGCGGCACTACCGACGGTCCGGTCCCACGACGGTGCCACCCGGCCTGATCATAATCCTCGATGGCCGCTTCGTGCAGCCCTAAACGGATCTTGGCCTCCGCCCGGTAGCTCCAAGCCTTGGCATTGCGAGGGTCCAAGCCAATGGCTCGGTCATAGTCTTCGATGGCCTTAGGGTAAAAGCCGAGAGCGGAGCGCTGGGGTTGTCCCTTCTAGCCTTCTAACTAAGAAGGTGCTTGATGCAACTGCTTAATGTCATGTTGTTTGGTGATGTTTGGTGTTCCGCCTTCTGGACGGGCGCTGGCATCTGTAAGCTGTTGATGCAGAATTCTCTATTGTCCTTGAACCCCAGATCTGGAAAGGGATCTCTTGCTAGCTAGATCCACCTCGCCACCTTCACCGGTCCAAGCGCACTTTTTCGCCCAAAACCCGATTCAACCGGCTCGGTCGTGAGGAAGGCAATCATCTGCGCCGTTTCGAAGATCTGGGCATACGAGTAGTAGATACCGTTAGGGGTCCAAGTACCTTCTCAGAAGGTACTTGGACATTCCAAGCCGACATAACAGTGTCTCCAATCACCTTCTCAGAGGGCCCGTGGATCCCTATAGGGTATATATAATAGCTCCTCACTTAGCTCCTCTTTCAACTGCGCAACATCTCATCTAGTCGAAAAGTCCACCCAGTAGAAATAGTATGAAGAAATGGCTAGCAATGGGTTTCCTCCCATCGTGGCATCTCATCCACGTCATCTCGCCTCAACTCTGCCAGTTACCTCACCCTATGCTGGCATTGCCGCACGTCGCTGCTTCCAAAGCACCGGGGTCAGACGCATGAAAACGAACACCCTTCGCTCCCAAACCCCCTCCCTTAGCGTAACTCCACGAGCGCGAACGAGCGGCGGATTGGTGCAGCCGCATCATGGTCTTCGCCAGGCCCCGATTGCAGAAGGCGCTCGGAGACTTAGGGTCCACTTCGATGGCCTTGTCGCAGTCCTCCCCCGCGCGGGCGGCGGTCGACTGTTCGAGACGAAGTGCTCGGACCAGGAGGTAGTGGGGTGGTAGTGGGGTGGTAGTGGGGTCCCATCAGGACCCAGGGATAGTATGCCTATAGTATGCCGATAGATGTCTTTGAGATACCACCCCAACTTAGGGGATTGAAACCCCACCCACTCTCCATGATTTCCACATGGAAATACCTACCAGGTCCTACCATCCCCCCCACCTCGCCTGGATGTCGGGAGATCCAAAGTTGCCTTCACTCTCTGACAAGGAGCGCAACAGGGGACCTTCCTCATGATCACCTGGAGCGCTCGCCGATCGTACGTACGCGGTCGGGCGCCCGGGCGCGCCCGGTTCGGCCAGTCTTCCACCGAACCGACCCGGCACGATGCGAAACAAAGGCGGCCGGACTGGTGGGCACCACCGGTTCGGCGAAGGTGGTGGCGCGAGGAGAAGCCGCGGGGAGCGCAACAGACAGAAATCCATGGGAGAAAGGTGGTGGGATGTAGCTTGGGGCTGTTTTGGGGGTGCTTGAAATGCTTCAATATGGTGCCCAAAGCTCCACATGACATGCGTTTGGAACCAAAGGCTGCATTGGTTGAAAAATATGGGAAAATAAGTGATGAGTAATGATTACGTTACTTCAAATCAACTGAGGCAATATGAACTGTTTTGACTACACACAGTCGTCAATAGATACTTCTCGGATCTGCTCGGGTCATGTTCGTTCTATTCCTTCCTGTGGCCCCGCTCCGTTCCAACTCCTGTGCCATAAAAACCACATCTTCGCGGAACATCTTCTTCGACCCCAGGCACGATGCCGTCGACGGCGGGGCGAAGAGGAGGGTGTACCGGTGTCCTCCGCCATGGCCCACACGCCGCGCGCGGGTGACTCGGAGCGCGCGGCGGCAAGGCGGCCAGAAATGCACCGCAAGCGCGCAGGGGGTGCAGTGTTTATATAAACACCGCAAGCGCCGCACGGGGTGCAGGGCTGAGCGTTGGGATGTTTTCTGCCTGGAAAGACCTGGCAATGCGATAATTCATGGGGAAGGGTGCCCCAAGATGGGTTGAATGGGTTCACGTCATCTGCATGTTCTTGTGGACATGGCCTACAGCGCCATCCCAGCGAAACCACAGAAAACACTTCGATCACGGTGTTGCTCACCTATGCTTGATCAATGCTACCGTACTACCGTGCGTTGAAGAAATATATCGGATGATCAGGATTGATCAGGTTCTTACTTTTGCATCTCTGGCAGCCGAAATCACAGCACGTGTTCAGCACGTGTTCCGCTCCTCTGCGACTCTGAGACGACCGTGCGAATCGAAGCAGCGACTCGCCACAACGAAGCAGCGACTCGCTGGGTCGTCGCGCGTATGGGCCCCCTTAGTAGTGGGCTGGGGCTTCCAGCCAGGTGGACCGCAGGTCGAACCAGTTTCTGTTTCAAGATTGGCTCGAAGGGAGAACCTCCTTGGGCGGTTCTCAGGCCCTGACATCATTGGCCAACCAACATGGTAGAACATGCCAAAAAAGGACTCCCAAATCCCACACTTCGCACCCTGGTAGATCCAACCAACCCCACGCCGCCCCACCCCAGTGACCCACGCGTTGTTCCGGCCCGTTGTTCAGGCGCCCCAGCTCACTGGGCTTGAAGAAGGCGTCCAATTCGACGGTGGCACCTCGCGGACGGCGCCCCGTTGTGCAGGCGGCCGACGGCCCAAGGCGGCGCACCAGGGAGACCGGGTGAGGTTGGTCGAGCCGAACTCAGCTGGGCTTGATGGGGACGGACTGCGGGGGGAAGGGCCATCTCTGACATGAAAAAATGGTGATAAAATGTGCGCATCATGTGTATCAGAAGTGATCTGTTTGTTTCAGTCTGGAACGTTGGGCGCTTCTGCACCATCGGTACGAATGAGACTTCAACTCGCTCCTGAACGTTTCCAAGAGAAATTTGGACTCCTTGGACCAATTTATGACAAGTGTTCCTTGCTAGAAACCCAAAAGTACAAAAATTAGATTTTGGGTGGCCAATGGTGGTCATTGGGTGGTCTTGTATACGGTATTATACCTCTGTGCTGGTTTAGCGTAGTTGCCGGGGTTACGGGGTTAATCCGAGGCATCTGCGCGGTAAAAACGGTAAAATCAAAAATTTTCTGTTTTTACCGTTTTTACCGGGGGGGCGCCCCTTTTTCCCTACCATATCCGCGGACGGTAAAAATCAAACATTTTATGTGTTTATCGTTTTTCCCCGGGGGGAGCTCCTGTTTCTTCTACCATATCTGCAGTAAAAACGGTAAAAGTATGTGTTTTAAACGTTTTTACCAGGGGGGGTGCTCCTTTTTCTTTTACCATATCCGCGGTAAAAACGGCAAAAATCGATTCGTTTTTACCGTTTTTACCGGGGGCGCTTCCTTTTTCAATACCATATCCGCGATCATAACGGTAAACATAATTGTTGTTCTTTTTGTACCGTTTTGATCGAGGGGGGCAAACGGGTCTATGTTTTTTTCAGTTTTTAACAGAGGGTCACCGCTGCTTCTTCTGCCATATCCGCGGTAGGTAAAAATCGAAAGTTTTCGATCCAAGTGATGTAGGCTTTCATTGCCCTGCAAAAGTTAAAAGTCATGAAATGTTGATCGATCACCAAACTCCTCCTGTCGAAAAGGGCACACGCTCCTATATGATAGGAGGAGTGAACCCCACCTGGTTATAGGAAGATACCCGGGCTTTAACATTAAACCTTTTTGTTGACAGAGGTCTTCTAGCTTGCGACCTGGTCCCGAGGCAACGGTCCAAAGTGAAAATTACTACGTTTGTTGTCTACCTTTTTTAATGAAGAGTCGCTCGCTCTTTTTGCTTCTACCATCTCGTTAAAAATCAAAGTTGTGTTATTCTCCGTTTTTGTAGGTGGACTTGTCCTTTTCTTTTCTACCATCTCCGTGGCAAAACGGTAAAAATCTTTGTTTTTAATCTGTTTTACTGGGGGGGCGCTCCATGTTTAAATTTCATATCTGCGGTAAAAACGGTAAAAATAGATTTTTTTGTGTTTTACCGGTTTTACCGGGGGGGGCGCCCTTTTTTCTCTACCATATCCGCGGTAAAAACAGTAAAAATCGAAAATGTTCTTTGTTTACCATTTTTACCGGGGGGGGGCTCCTTTTTCTTCTACCATATCCGCGGTAAAAACGGTAACAATCAATGTTTTTTTCCGTTTTTACCGGGGGGGGCTCCTTTTTCTTCTACCATATCCGCGGTAAAAACGGTAAAAATCGAAAATGTTATTTTTTTTACTTTTTTTTTCCTGCGGCCACCCAAGGTCTAATTCGTGGATGAGAATGATGAGAAGACTCATCACACACTCCGATCCGGGCCAGCCCTTGTCATGTCCGGTCCGAGTTCCGGCGCCTTGCCCAATCTTCTCGACCTGAGGTCGGTCGATCCCTCAGAGTGGTAGGCTGGGGTTACCAGGTGGACCCCGAACCGAAGGTGCTGCTAGACCTATATACGACAGGTACACTCCTTCAGAGCCATATCTCCAAGTGGATGTCCCACCACCGCGTCGCGAAGATCGCGAAGACTCGGGTTGACCATGAGGACCATCAATCCGTCGACCGGAGTGACTCGGCCGTGGTGAACTCCGGAGATCCTTGTGCAGCCACTCGGAGTGCACGTACTACATTCATCTACCAGGGCCCACGGGCCGACGGGCCGGGGGTGTCTAACAATAGGCCCCTTAGATGTTAAGGGGTATCCATGAACCACCCCTTGCCGAACAGGGGGGCCCTTTTCCACCTTCTTTCCCGACCGACCTTGGCGTTCAGGAGGCCAAGCACCCAGGAGTCTTTTGGAGTGTTTGACCTACCGTCCAAAATCATGGAACGCCAGAGGACCAGCCCCCGCAGAACAGCTGAAGGACTCAAAATCGGCAAGTCCGATGGTGGGTGCTTCATGGAGGTTACGGGTGCCTTATCCACTCACTCAGGGACCAAACACCACCCCGACCTGTGACTCTTGGTCTGCGCTTGGTGCAACTTGCACAAAAGTCTCGCAAGGAAGCGAGCTAAATGTTCATGCAAGATGATGCGGTTGTGTCCTTCCGTCCTCGCTGTGATCTCAGCATTCACCTGTGGACTAGTCGGACTACCCAATCCCAGACACTCCATGTATCGCATATTTACCTACATTGGGGTGGTTTTGGGGGTCAATGTAGGTATATATGGCAGTCCCATGGAGTGTCTGGGAATACTACCCACTACTGCAACCACTAGAAGAGCCTCTCCAGTCCGGTCGCCACCGGGTAAACCCGGTCTGGTCTCCGAGCGAGTCGGCACCAGTGATTCGGCTCCAGATCGCCTTGGAGGCGACCGCCAGGACGGGAGTGACGGGTGCGACTTGGAAGGAAGGAGGAAACGGATCCATAAGGTATATCCATGGTGAGTGCTCATTCCCTCATTCCCTACTGAGCACCAGTCAGAGGAGGAGGAGCGAGAGAGGAACTCTATGATGGGGGCACCAGTGTTCAACAATCATGCAAGATACGCAAGCTCCTGAAAATTGCTCTCTCGTTCAGCGCTGACTTAGATACCTTTTCAGGAGTATTCGTCTCCATCCTGTCTGGGTGTCCTGGCGATCCCTTTGTCAAGCAGTGCAGGGTAGTCGAACGCCAGGACACCCAGATGGTCAGATGCTCCAGGGTTCTGCAAGCTTCGGTCCAGGGGGATTGGGCTTCGTTCAGCTCCCGCAGCTCCCTTCAGCTCCCTCGGCTCCCCCCGTCCCTGTCATGGCACCTATCTTCACCGACGCAGTGCCCAGGCCTGGTAGACAGCAGAGCCGAGGTTCCGCGTGACCAATCAGTGGAGGTCCTCAAGTGATCCTGATTTCTGGGCCCCAAAAGGACTCACCTCGAAGGAAGGTGCTGAAAGCTAAACCATCCCATGGGACTGGAAGAAACTATTAGGATCCATGATCTATTAGGTTATTGCATCTACCCCCTTTATGACTTTATGAGTCTAATGTATTATGTGTGTATAGATGTGTGTAAAGATATTCCATACAATACATGGAGTAATTATAGGGGGGAAGGTGGTGTTCATAAGTTCATATCTAGGTCCTATAGGTCGAGTGGACTTGTCGACCAGGTCACTAGATACGTGTGAGGTCTCGCACAAGGTCGCCTTCCACCCAACCATTCAAAGAGTTCGGCGGTTGACCTGGTGCTCTAGTCTCCCCTGAGTAAAACAATGATGGGTTTCCTTGGTCAAACCCATGATGAGTTGGGTGAGTTCAGATAGGCAAGGTCACTTCGGAGACTGCTTTCAGCTTGTTTTGGTGGAACTCCCTTGAAAATTGGAAGATCTACGAAATTGACAATCTGTTCTTCCCAATGGTGAGAGCTCGGTCACCACCGAGCTAAGATCTCCAGGTCTTCAAGCTGCCGAGCTCCGAGCTCCGGCTCTGAGCCGAGCTCCACCGATCCCACCTCTTCGTCGAGCCAAGCAGGGGTCTGCTAGGGCTCCAGACTGTCATCCCTCACCACGTTGGCATTCATCACCTTCCCATGCAGCAGGGGGGGGTTCCGAGCTTTCTGCAAGTGGGTCTTGCCCAGTGGGGTGGCCCATCGCACACACCCAGTCTGTCGACTCATAGATGCAAATCCTCTCCCCCATGCTTGCAGCTTCGGAGGAACTTTGATATGATTCCAGATGCAGCATCAGATAGCATCAGCATCAGATGCACCACCATGTGGTAGAAAACAACACATGGTCCTTGTGACATTGCTGCACCTCGCACTTCGGATCCGAGATGAAGGAACAAAAAGAACGCACGGAAAACGCCCAAAACGCCCTGGGCACCGGTGAAAGGGCCCGTTATGGGTCCAACGGCCTAGGAAGGCCAGGAGGTTCAGTGTCCAGGCTGCGCCTCCAGTTCCATCGTGGCATCTTCCTCAGCGACCGAGAAGGTGAAGAGGTTCCCGTCCTGCCCACGACCGCGATCCAAGCACCGCGCATGGGAAGGGACAGCGGTTTCAGATGAGTTCATCGCCACTGGCTGGAGGGGGGCGGGAACTTCTTAGACTTGTGGCATTGGGGTGGGCGAAAATGCCAAAGGGTCAAGGTCCGCAATGGCCTTGACACTCCAAACTCTGACCTCTTGGAGTGTGAGAGGGGCAAATCGTGGATCCATGCAGATTGCCCTCCCCTCCTGCCAATCAGGATTGAGGTTGTTGTCGATGGTCGGTGTCCTGGAGCGGCGCGGCATTACCCCCAGTCTGGAATCATCAACCAGCACCCGTCACCCGACCCTACAGGGGACCAGGAATCATATTCCAGGCCCGTCCCAACCCTCAGCTAAAGACCTGGCAGCGAAGGTCCTGGAATATAATGTAGAAAACCACATTGAACCTAAGGTAGCAGAAGAGGGATCGGCTGGAGTGCCCGGAACAAACACAATGGAGAACTGCCTGTGAAGAAACACACGCTGAACAGGACCGCTTTCCCTCAACATCTTCTGTCCCCTCCCACCAAGCCAATTAAAGGCAAATAGATATATACCAGGTTACCAGCACCCTCCAGCAGGTCTCCTTTGGAGGTTTGTTCCCCAAACAGTGTGGACACACCACGGCGCTACGGGTTCTTGCTTAGATTAGATCGCTCAAGCGTGGGGGGCGTGTGCGGCTAATTCGCTGCTATTTACGGTGCATTCATGCCTCTCGACTTCGTCAATGTGCATTTCGACTGCGCAGGCAAACAAAGTCTGCCTGCCGGCGGCGGGTGCTTCTAGCGACTGCGGTCTCGTTGTGGTGCCGTGCGCATTCTTGCACATGGTGGTGACTTTTCGTGGCAGGTGCAAGGGAAGCCTCGCGCTTTGGTGCTCCAAAGTCGACTTTTCGTGACAGGCACACGCTCACACTCACACTCTCACTCTCACTCACTCTCCCACTCTCACTCTCACTCGCTCTCCCACTCTCACTCACACTCACTCACTCACTCACTCACTCACTCACTCACTCACTCACTCACCACCGCCGCCGCCACCGTCACCACGATCCCCACCTTGATCACCCCATGCGTCTAGATCTCTAGACTTTCTGCTTATAGACCTCACACACACTGTTTGGGGTCTCTTGCCGGGATAATTAGGCCGAAACAGGTTTCAATTGGTGACCTGTTGGAGGTGCTGGTATAGTTCTACTCAGGATTCCTGGCCCACCATCGATTTATATAAATTCATAGCTGGATCCCGAACAACCCACTGGTTGCCGTATGAAAATAAATGCACCTATATCAAACCCAGTTAAACCCAGTCAACCTTTCCTTTCAAATGGTCCAACGGAAGGCGATGGATGCCCAAAACTCTTCGCATGGCCCGGTTCTTCAGTCCCACCCCGACCGATCCACCGGACCGCGTTCCCTCCATCGCCTCCGCTGCAAGTCCCCCACCTTCACGATGACGTAGGGATCCGACCTCGGGGCAGCCACTGGACGGCCCAATTTACTGGATTCCAGCCCCTCACTTGCTAAAGCAAGGACAACTCCAGCTAGCTGCTGCTAGCTTTCGTGACTTGCATAGCCACATCTCAAAAAGATTTAGAAGATGAGGACGTCCTCGTTGTGAACATGTTGCTACTTGGAGCTCGCAAGCGAGATCACTGCTACTAACAGCGGCAAAAACACAGGTGCTACGGATCGGACGCCGCCGCATTTTTTCGATCTGTCCAACCTTCAGGATTGGGCGTGAAGAAGAGTGGCACAAGCCACAGAAAGCGTGACCTTGGGTCCAGATCACCCAGCGCGTGTTTTGCGTCTGCAGCTTCAAATGGATTTACCTGGTGTCTGACAGCAGACATTGCACATACTCTTCTCAAGCATGAGTGTATTACACTTCGCTGCTCACTTCGCTGCGCAATGATGTCAGTTCTGCGCTGGATCAGAATTTGGTGTCGTGAGCCTCACCCCTTCCAAAAAGGGTGTCTAGATTTGGCTCCGACCGCTGGGTAGATCTGACGATCACTCCCGCGGTTGCGCGGGAGGACCCCGGCCGGTCTGTACCCCCCAAGCTGTTCAGCTCGAGGTTCCTCAAAAAAAACACAGCCCCGAGGCGCCACTTGCGGATGGCGCGCGAGACATTTGCGGTGCATTTACGGGTCGAGGTTCCTGCAGCGCTTCCGCGGCGGAAGCGGGTGGCCAGAGGGTGGCCGGTCCAACTAGCAAGTCTTATGGTGGACCCGTATCCAAAGGAAAACCAACGATAAAAACATACCTGGACCTTCAAGGAGTGTCGAATGGAGGTCCCTTAGTAGTGGGCTGGGGCTTCCAGCCAGGTGACCCCGAACTGGAGGCGCTGGTATAAAGAAACGCATGGACTAGCTGCAGACTTGAGGTCGTTTTGTTTGGCACGGAGGGTCCGAAGCTTCCGTGCTAAGGAGAGCCGAAGCATCTCGAGGATGCTTCATGATAGTACTGGATTGTCATGGACCCTCCACGTGGAAAATGGGTGCAACATGTACAAGTACCTTACGATAAGTAGCTGTCCCGTTTTCTGTCAGGAATCCAGGTGCATCCATCATGAAAAATGGCCCAGTCTCAGTGACTCTACCCATCTCGGGTCCCCGGGGTCCGGGTTCATCGACCCAATTCGACCGCATCGACCGCCGCTGACGACCGCGGACGCATCGACCGGTGCGCTGACGACGGGGGGATCGGCGAAGACCGGTCGTCGACGGTGCCAGTCACAGGAAGTTGGGTAGTGTTTAGTCCTTAAGTGGGTAGTGGGCACCCCGACTTCCTCCATGGATCGCACCCCTAAGTGAGTGGATAGTGATCATCCCCTAGTCCTTAAGTGGGTAGTGGGCACCCCGACTTCCTCCATGGATCGCACCCCTAAGTG